TTTCATCTCTCCATGAGTCCTCATGGCCTATAAATAGAGGTGCCCCTCCTAACCATGCAATCGTTCCAAGAGCATTGTAGAAGTGAGAAGGGTGAGTGTGAGTAGGGTAAATGATAGGATAACCACTTAATGGTGTGTGTAGTCTTGTGTAATATTTTAACATAGTAATGGTCTGTGCTTTGATTTATAGTTAAATTTGTCGGCGATGGAGAATGACCTTTACTCTAATTTCTACTTGTTATATTAGCGGAGTGTGTTGTGAAGCAGCACAATGATAGTATCAATCACATATTTTAAGCTCGAATTTTGCTTTACGAGTGACTAATTTGGTGGTTTTATGCATATGTGCTCATGAATATTTTATTATTGAAGTGTCTAGGTGAAAAGCTTAAGATCGCACTTGTTTCTACCTACAACAAGTTGATTACATGTTGTTATTATGTTTTTAGGTTTTACTCCAAGAATTAGTCAATGCTAAAGACCATATCTTTTATAGTCATTTAGACTTGTTTTGAGGCGAGTTTTATAGTAAGGATAGTAAGGAAAGGTTTCAAAACTTCTATTAGGAGTTTGGGACAATTGTGATGGTCTAATGAGAGTGATCACGACTCATTTTGGGTTGAAGCATTGGTTGATTTCATGAGGCTCGAGATACTTAAGAGCACTTCAACCATTAGCATTATGACCACCTTCTTTTCCATTGCTGACACAATGCTATGCAAGTCGTGTGACATTTCATTTGTAAGCAAGCTTATAAGAAGGATAGCAATGGTCATGGCGATGAACACCCCATGGATCGAGGGTTATTCTCGATCATTTCACTCTGTTGCCAATAACAAAGCTTAGTGTGGTTCGAAGATGTTGATAGCTGAAAGCATCTAGGCCCCTTTGTTGGGTTTCGGTGATTAATGACAATACAAGATTACTATGACTAATGTGTGTTTTGCAGAGGCAATTAAGTTAGGTCATGGTAATGGAGATCGATTGGGCAATCGAGGTGGTCATGCCCCTACGATGGAAATCGTTTCGGTTTTCAAAGGATGGACGATAAGGTTAAGGATGGCTAGTTCTAAGTGTCGATTGGAGTTGGAGTGACACTTAGAGTAGTTTAGGACTTTGTTTTTCCTTTGGCCATACTATTAAGGGGGGGTATGGATGGGTAGCTTGACCTAGATGAGTCTAGTGAGTTAGGTGTGGTGCACACTTGTTTAAATTAGCTCTAGGTAGCTCCTACATATGCCTAAGATCAAATGGAGCAAACTTCATTCACACATGATCGAGAGTTGAAGGTGAATGGAGGGTCAAATCTTGACAGAGCCAGACGGCCAGAGGGTCGGTCGATTCATTTGATCAAGAGATTGCGTTGAGTGCGACCGGGACCTGGAGGTAATCAAGTGACCGGGGGCCGAGAGGCGGCGTCCGGTCGACTCAAATAAGGTTCGAGAGAAGGGAATCTGCGGCCGGACGCGTCCGATCAGTCTTGACCGGACTCTGGGGTTCATCGTCCGGTCCGAGTCTGATGAGTTCCAGTGAGGGTTTAATGCGACGGACGCGTCGGTCGATGGTGACCAGACCGCTGTCGTCCGGTCAACACATTTTCTTTGGTATGCGGGTTGAACTGACCGGGCGTCCGGTCAACATTACCGGGCGTCTGTCACCCTTGCAGAGGCACATAACGGTTCGTTTTTCAGGCTTCCTTATAAATAGAAGTTCCACTCGTGTGTGGAGTGACTTTTGCCCATTGCAACAGCTGAGAAACACGTTTGTGAGTGCCAAGAAGAGGAAGGTTCTAGTGAGGTGATTGGGATTTGAGAATCCAAGAGAGTAGCCTCATTAGTGAATCAAGAGTAGACAAGTGTGCATCCATCTTCTCATTAGGCTTCGCGTGGTCAAGTGAGAGTTCGTGCTTATTACTCTTGGTGATCGCCATCACCTAGACGACTTGGTGGTGATTGGGAGCTTGGTGTTCACCCGGCGGAGCTTGTGGGTGACCCAACTCAAGTTGTGAGCGGCTTTGGGTGATTCGCCGCGACGGAGTATCGAAGAATCAACCCATAGAGAGCACTTGATTCTTGCGCGGATCAAGGGGGAGCTACACCCTTGCGCGGGTGCTCCAACGAGGACTAGTGGGAAGTGACGACTCTCCGATACCTCGGCAAAACATCGCCGCGTTCCTCTCTCTCTATTTACTTTGAGCATTTACTTTGAGCAATTCAATACTTGTCTTTACATTTATAGAATTGCCATGCTAGAGTAAGTTTGGAACATAGGTTGCTAGTCCATTGTGCGTTAGTTTATTAGAAACACTTTTCTAGGCACAAGGGGTAATTGGGCTAACCGTATGATTTAATTATTGCAAGAAAATTTAGAATTAGCCCAATTCACCCTCCTCTTAGGCATCTTGATCCTTTCAATAGCATTGAAGGCCGTGGCATATGCAGTGGCTGTATTTTTGGCATACTCTACAAAAGCTTTGTCTAGCTTTGCCACCTCAGATGCTTCAGGTGGGAGCACGTCAGACTTCAGAACATTTTTTAATCTCCTGAAGGAGACCCATTGCAGGATTCTGCAACGCAAACACAGAAATTAAATATAGAAGCCAAGAATGAAAGGAGATAATACTTTGTTTCTGGAAAGCAAATCGTATGAAACGGATCCCTGCCATTTAGTGGATGGGTAATCATGTACATACCATAAGCTGACAGGAACACCTATTTTTAGATATAGAGCTGTTACAGTTAGTTTTAGCCCATAAATGTAGAGGTGCTGCAAATTAACAGTTTAACATGTATAAAAAAACATAGTCATAGTTCCTGTGTTCCTTATATGGCATCAGTGTTCGCTGCAGCTGTTGCTGCAACTTTTCAACAAGTTCACCACTATAGACTCCTGCTCAAGCTTTTGGAGACATTTGAGTGCTTTCCGGTCTTATGACCCTTCTGTCAGCATCTGTGGCGCCAAGCTCCTTCTCAATCTCAACGATGATATCAGCATCCTACAAAAGAAATTTCCTGATGTGAAAATACATATCATTTGAATAAACAAAATCTAGAAGCCGATTCCTAATCCCCAAGAAACATCTGCTAGTTTGTATCACATAATATCCAAAGGAAACAAGAGGAAAAAAAAAAAATAAAAAGGGGCTGGGCTGGAAGGGGGGGGGCTGCAGCGGTGGACTTGAGTTCTGTTCTCAGCAAAGTTGTTGCATGTGTACAATGGAGTATGTAACAACTGACAGCTATTCTGATAATGCAAATCCATTATACACATGCAAACACTGTTTGAACAGCCAGCCCATAAATGTTAATGAGGTACAAAATTACTTCGCGAGGTGTTGCACTTGTTGCACTGTAATGCCAAAGAGAAAACAAGTTTAATTTGTTCCTACAGAAACCACCACGCATATACCAGACCGCATTCTGCAATATAAAGTGTTGCTGTTCTAGAAAATACATGCTCTAAAGACCACAGCATTACTCATGCACAACTAAGCATATCGGCATTCCTTCCCAACACGCAAATACTAAAAGCTTATGACTGTAAGCACTGATGCCAACTACAAATAGTCAAGCAGATATAAAGTGTACAACGACAAGCAGGAGTGTCAACATGACTGGCATACTTGTAAAGTCAAGATCTCCCATAGCATACATGAAAGGAATGGAGACAAATGTGCGCAGGGTTTGACAGGAATCAACCAAACATGGTCCCCTAGGTATTTCACAAAATAGAACTTGTTCCTTACACTCAAGAATATATGGAATTCTGAGAAAAAATAAAGAATTCAGAAAGCAGAGGCACCTAGTATTTCTAGCAGTCTCTAAAGCAGAGCGGTCTAGCTACTGATTGCCCTTTCCTGGTGGCACTCCACAAAAGGAACGTCAAAACAGAGCTCTTCAAGGTCACACTTCCTAGTAAGGAACCCTTGCTACATAGGTGATCAGGGAGTCCGTAAGCATCTTAGACAAAACAAGCAACATGATTTTGGCCCCGTTTGCGTGCCTTTAAACCCGACTTGATCCGCTTATTTTTTCATCTAAAACAGTATTTTTCTCTCACAAATTCCTCCAGCATTCCTCCAAACCATCCAAATTCCTCCAGAATTCAGACAAGCGAACATTTATAGATCCTAATCCAACAAGAGATGTCATGACACAAACCACATGAACAAAAGCAGAGATGCCACACTGCCGCAGACAGAAGCACATGGCAAGTGAAATGAAACAACAATACTAGCAGAAAGAGAACCACATCGTCAGAGAAGAACAATACTAAAGGCTCGCTGCAGCACAGGCAGCCAAGCACATAAAAGGCAACACGGGCCTAATTCCCAGGGAACAAGTCTCGAGCCCAGCCCAAAATCCCCGTTCAACCCTAACATAAGTCTCGTAGGAATTTATTTGATATTATATAAATGCTAATATCCATTTAATTTTTTTCACTATTTTCACACTGACTGCTGCGGTCAATACTTTATTTTTCACTCTCGGGCTGCCTCCACAGCCTGCTCTTGAGCTTCTTGACTTGCTAGCTCTCCACCGGACCACCCCTATTGCCGGCTGCTGCTGTTGGTGTGGAAAACACTGTTCTTTTTAAAGCTAGCGAACAGGCTCCGACGGTGCTGGACGCCGGCCTGTGCATCGTGGCCACCGACTCCGTCCACTTCGACTCGGACCTCCCGCACTACGGCACCCGCGGCGGCGTCCTCCGAGACCAAGACCCCGCCGAGCGGGGCCGCATCATGTCGCCGCCGCTCATGTGGGCGGAGGCGCTGGACCTGCTCCTCGGGAGGCTGCGGCGGCACGCCGACCTCCGCCGCGTCGCCGCCGTCTCCGGCTCCGCGCAGCTGCACGGCAGCGTGTACTGGGCCAAGGGCGCTGGCCGCCCTGGACCCTGCCGCCGGCGAGGGCCTGGCGCCGCAGCTCGCGGCCGCGGGCGAGCTCAGGGCGCCGGAGTCGCCCGTGTGGATGGACAGCAGCACCGCGGCGCAGTGCCGGGAGATGGAGGCGGCCATGGGCGGGCCCCTGCGCCTGGCGAGGCTCACGGGGTGCCGCGCGCACCGGCGCTGCACGGGGCCGCAGATACGGAAGATGCACCAGACCCGGCCGCAGGTGTACGAGGCCACCGAGAGGGTATCGCTGGTGAGCTCGTTCATGGCGTCGCTGCTCGTCGGCGGGTACGCCTGCATCGATGAGACCGATGGAGCCGGAATGAACATCATGGACATCGACACGCGCCAGCTACGCCAGGATGCTCTTCAGGTTCTCTTGGTGTTTGCCTCTACATAGAAATGGAGTTCATGGTTCCCTTCACTGATTCAGAGTTTCAGATTTCAGACTTGCAACTGTGTTCGCCATTGCAAATTGTAACTAAAAAGATGGAAGTGGCACATCCTACAATTAAGCCCAATCAGTTCAAAGAAGAATTCAGCTCAGTTCAACATTTTTACATTTCAATTTTGTAGGCTATGGCTCCAGATTTGGAAGAGCGGATTGGGAGACTAGCCACCAGCACATGCTGTTGCTGGAAAGATAGCCCCTTATTTTGTTCAGAGGTAAGTTTTGCTAAATGTCTTTCTTTTTTGTGTGTTGTGCGTGTCTCTGTTCAAATCATGAAAGGCTGGATAATGTGAATGAGCTGCAGCAACTTTTTTTTTATCATTGTTTACTCGTGACACCAACTTGTCAGATTGATACTTCTGTTTTTATGTTCTTGCAGATTTCAGTTTTCAAGCAGCTGTATAGTTATTCAGTGGTCAGGCGACAATCCCAATAGCCTTGCAGGTACTTAGGTTCATCCTAATCTTTTGCATTCAAATATCTTAGTATGTTCTGATGTTTGTTTGTCTAGATAAAGAACTAGAAAACTCGGCGCGGCTTTGCCGCACCCTCATGAGTTCGCCAGCCTAGGATTTTTTTTTTTCATTTGACCAAGCAACTGCCCCCTTGACTACCACACATGGCACATCTAAAATAGTATAACACCACAGTAACCTAAAGCAAGTTAGATAGGCAAAACTATTTCGGCCACACACTGGCGGCGGGATGCCGAGCAAGGCTCGATCTGATGGGTAACCGTCATGCCCAACACTGCACAATCGGCAGGGGAGCAGTGACGGCTCGCTTCAGAGTTGTCAGAGTTGAGTCGTTGTACACTCACCATCAGCGGTAGGTACCGTCTTCGTTTAGGATGGCGAAGTGGCAGGCAGGCCGCAGGCCATGATGTTTGGGACAGCCATTTCATCGAACACCATGCTGGTGAGCCTCGAGTGGCTGTTATCCCCGGGCTTCCTTCAGTGTCACGCCGCACCGCAGGGTGTGGCCTTGTGGCTGCGGCTGTGCAGAACAGCGGAAGGCGTGAGGTGGAGTGGGTGGCAGAGCACGCGGAGGGCATAGGCCGACGTGCGAGGTGGCCAAGCGCCGCAGCATGGTGTTGGTGGTGGAGAGCACGTTGCAGCCATGCAGGTGCAATGGTCGCCGCTTCTAACTCCACTTGAGTCTTGACACGCATCCGCCACATCTCCTTCCCTTGCTAGCTAAGTCCATGCTGCGCCACGCGACGCAAAGGAAGGAGGCAGTCTGCGCACGGGAAGGAGAGAGCCCACTCGGCTCATCCGCACCAGGTGTCGTCGCTGTCTCTCGCGCCGCCCTTTGCCAGTTCTGCCAGCATGTGCCATATGGGCTGGTGTGGCGCCCCTCGTGGCGAGCGGCGGTGGTGGCGCGGCCTCGGCAGGGGTTTCAGGGTCTGGGGTTTCAGGGTCGCAACGAAACTAGGCGGAGACCGATTGGACCCGTAATGGGCATAGTTTTTAAGGCGTCGCCTGGCGGCGACTAGTTGTCCGGCGGATTTTCAAGCGTGGCGTCATTGTATGCGCCGCGCATCCTCTGGCGTATGGCGTCGCCGCGCGGTCGAAGTCGTCGCCTTAGTCGTCCCTTCTCGCTGGCAGACGCCGCGGACGTAAAAGGTGCGGGGAAAGAGCGGCGCCGCGCGCTCGAGCGGGCGGGAAAAGAGCGGCGCGATGCCCTCGCGCGGGAAAATCAGCAGCGCCGCGCCTACACCTCCCGCCAAAGGCTCCCAATCCCCATCGCGTCCCGAGAGAGGCGAGAGGAAGAGGAAAGGAAGGAGAGGAAGAGAGGAGAGGCGGCGGACGCACCTCAAATCCGATGGCGGCGCGGCCGGCGGCGACCTTGACCGCCCAGCGCAAGTCCGTCCCGGCAGCAGCGAGGCCAGACGTCCATGCGACTACTGCTCCGTCCGAGAGAGAGGAGAGGGAGAGGGAAAGGAAGGAGAGAGGAAAGAGAAGAGGCGTGAGCACACCTGAAGTCGGTGCAGCGCCGCCAGCAGCGGCGGCCTCCCTGCGACTCCGCCCCATCCGCATACGACTCAGCTCATCCGTGACTCCGCCCGTCACGATTGCTCCGTCCGCCCGTCCGGAGAGCGAGAGGGAAGCAGAGGAGAGAGGGGAAGAGAAGAGGTCGTCCCCAATCCCCACCTGATCTGGCCCTTGCCTTCGGTGCGTCCTTTTCTCCCTCCTTCCTCTGCTCTGCATCTCCTTCCTCTGCTTTCTGCTGCGTGGACTCTGTTTCGCATCTTCTTCCTCTGCTTTCTGCTCCTTCTACTACTGCTCCATTTGGTTGCTTGCTATCTCTGTGGCTGCTATGGACTAGCAGCACTAGTAATTAAGTTATGTTATGTCTTTGAGTCTAATTTGCTCCTATTGAGAGATGAGAGATTTCAAATTTGCTAGTTTGCTACTTTATGTTATGTCCTGTTACTGTAGCAGCGCTATTTATTATGATATTACATGATATGATTTGCTTATGATTTCTAGTGGTATTATATATTAAGGCGTTAGTAAGGCGTCGCCTCGCCTCGCGCCTTAAGCGCCTAGGCGTCTGGAAGGGGTCGGGCGCCGCACCTCGCCTTACCGCCTTAATAACTATGGTAATCGGACAGACCATATAAACCGTTGCTGAATCAACGTGTATAGGTTAGCGGGTGGCGTGGCCATATCCACCGCCCGAACCTTGGCTCCGGATTAGAATTATATATAGAGATAGAGATGGCCAAATTAATTGTTCCATATGTATGTCAAGACTGCTTGCATGCTGCAAACTTAAAAAAATGCTTTTGGCTTCCATACATGTGTGATTGTGCAGGCTTAACTTTGAGCAATCCTGGTGATCTAGCAATAAGCCTTGGGACAAGTGATACAGTAATCTTCTACCACCTTGCTTTTGTTACAATTTTTGGTTGACCTATTTCCCAAAAGAGTTATTACTAAAAAAGAAAACACGTAGCAGACTAGCAATACCTACTATGATCTTGTTCTGAAATTGGCAAAACTTGCAAATTGAACCTTACTTCTACTACAGTGGATCAGTTTGTAAAAGAATCCTGGAAAATGTACTCAATATGCGACATTGTTTCATTCTATCTAGTTCTGTATTAACCCCTGGTGCTGATTGTGGTGCCTTTATGGCCCTTTCAGGTTTTCGGGGTCACCGATTCACCTGAACCAACCCTAGAATGAAACATCTTTCCTAATCCAGTCGATCCCAAGACCCACATGGTTCTGCTTTGCTATAAAATGGATAACACAAGAAGGTATGGTTTGCAACTTTGCAAGTAACTTCTATTGTGCTCCACCCCTTGCTAATACATACATTTTGTTCAGAACTTACATAATCGTTATGCTGATAGATCTTGGGATCATTTCAACAGGTTGCTTGAAGAAACAGCCCCCTTGAATGGTACACCAATCTATTATTGTTTCATCATTCCATTTACTGAAGAATTGATAGCCTAGTTTCCTTAAGCATAACTAAATGTGAGTTTATGTTTATACAATGGACATCAGAGAATATGTTGGGAGCTGAGATAACTGCTTGGCTAGAAATCATGGCAAACAACATATTTCAACCACTCAGTTTACAGCCTTGCAAAAATTGGCAACTCAGTGCAGTATTATGGTTATGCCTTTTGATCCCAACATGACTAATGCAGTTACTACATAAAGCGCTCACCTTTCCTTGATGTTCACAATAGATGCTTGCATTGACCACACAAAAGTAACTTTCCTGAAGATTCCTGGACTTATAATTTCCTGCTTTTGCAGGAGGAAGTTAAGGATTTTACTACAAGGAACATGAGATTCTCCCACCACTTCCAGGTTAGTTTTGTCCTTACATTTTTTCCCTTTCGCAATTCAACCTTCATCTCAGTGCTCATTTAGATTAGATGCTCACCTACATGCATAGTTGGATTTCACCGCTACGTTGTCAAGAACTTCACTAGTGGACCTTTGGGTGAGATGGTGGAAGAAGTTGACAAGTTTGATCCTCCTTCAGAGGTTTGAAGATCTCAAAACCTGTAAATCAAACTGTTTGAAATGCTCATTTAATTAACAGTCATGATTTAGGTTCGTGCGATAATTGAAGGGCAGTTCATGTCCATGAGAGGCCATTCTGAGCAATGTGGCCTGCCAGTACCTCCAAAACGGATTATAGCAACCGGTGGCGCGTCCTCAAACCCAACAATTCTCAAGATAATGGCATCTATTTTTGGTTGTCCATTCCTGCTTCCTTAAAAACATAGTATTAATATACCTGTATCAGTATCCATTCCTGCTATGAAAACAATATGATGAACAGCGATTGTTCTATTTATAATTGATCTAGTTGTTGTGCATGCTCGCATATTCTTGTATTTTTTTTAATTTGCTTGCTAATTCTGGTATGCCTATATATCATTCAATGAATACAGACTCTGCCTCTTTGGGTGCTGCTTTGCGAGCAGCCCATGGGTGGCTTTGTAAGCAGCAAGACGAGTTCGTGCCATTCTCATGTGTGTACTCAGGAAGATTAGATGGAACATCACTTAGCATGAAGTTGGCTGTTCCTTTTGGGGACTGTGAGGGAGACACTGAGCTTCTGAACAACTACACATTGTTGGTTAAGAAGAGGCTGGAGATTGAGCAGAAGCTCATCGCAAGATTTGGTGGATCAGAGTGAAGTGACTGCTAGGTAAAATTTATCTGTTGATATACTTTTGGTAATGGTAGCAGTATTGATGATAAGAATGGGCTATCTTCTACGCATGTGTCGCTTAAAATTGAGTCAGATGTGTAGTAGCCGCAGAAATTAGACATCGATCATTACCATGTAACCATTAAAAATTATACATTAGCCTACTAGGACCAAATTCACAATTAGCTGAGTATATCTATTCATTTTACTGATTTATTTTTATGTTAATGAGTCTAATCTAGCCCTTTTTCATTCTTCTGTTAGGATCGTAGGATTGGTACCTCGTGTGTAAACCGTAGATCCGTGGTTAGGCTCCTCAACCTTGTGGAGCTTCACCCATATGGCAGCGTGGGCCGATGATGCATACCTGGATGCAGCCTCGCGGACGCCAGTGCCAAGGCAGCTCCGACTCGATGGCGAGGTACAGTGGTGGCGGCGGAGACTCAATCTAGTGGCGCCGGCGGTGTCCCTGCATAGGCGACGGCGGTGGTGGTGGCGGGCTCATCCCGTCGCTGACAGCACGCTTTAGGATCGAATTAGGGTTTCTCTGTAGGTGGGTGGCGGCTCCGTTGAACCTCGTCATTCGAGCCCTCACCCCCACCTTCCTTTTATGTGTGTTGTGCGACGAGGGCCCATCAAGCTGGATTAGGGTTAGGCTCCCCGATCGAGGGAAGCAGAGATAAGGGCCCAATAGGCCGTTGGGCCTATTGGTGGAGATCAACTAACATTCTCCCCCTTGATCTCATTCCATCTTTTATTTTCATATCATTTACTTTTGTTCATTCCATTACAAATTAGCTCATAGAGCATGTCTCATAAATCACGGTCCATTGCCGATAGACTTATGACTACAACTCACTACTCATTACGAAATAGATACTTATCTTTGGGCCTTCTTTTGTCCAAGAATATTTTAGGCTTTCCCTTAAACCCAAGCTAGCTACATATTCTCACGAACACCATGTCCTCTGAACATGTTGGGTGGTAAGCCTTTTGTAAAGCGGATCCATGAGCATCCTTTCTATTCTTATATGCTCAAGACTTATAACTTGATCCCGGACTTTATCTTTCACAACATAATACTCTATGTCAATGTGTTTGGCAGCACCACTTGACTTATGTTGTGAGCATCCTTTACTGCCAGATTATAATCGCAGTATAACTTTAGTGGTCTATAGATGTCGTCAACCACCTTCAAACCCGGTATGAACTTCGTTAGTTAGTTAATTCACCTGCCCGTTGCCTCATAACACACGCCTAAGCTGTCATACATTGTGAACGATATAGTGACAGTTTACTTTGAGCTTTTCCATAAAATAGCTCCCCTTTGCGAGATGATAGAAAATCCACGTCTGGATATGCATTCACTCTCGCATAATCAGAATCTGAATATCCCACCATGTGGAGTGAATCAGATCTTCTATATGTCATCATGAGGCCTTTCATTTCTTGCAAATAATGCAAGACTTTCTTTACTAATTTCAGTGTTCTATTCCAGAATTCCTCTGGAATCTGCCAAGTAAAACCCGGTAACAAATGACAAGTCAGGGCGCGTACATACTTGAGCATGTTGCAAACTTCCGACAGCTGAAGCATATGGAACCACTTTTACTTTATCGATTGAGCTCATATTGGTTCCTAGGGCATTGAAAATCCCCATATCTGTCGCCCTTGACTATAGGAGCAGGTGAGGAACTACATTTGTGCATACTGAATTTCTTTAAGATCTTTTCCATGTATGCCTTTTGTGACAGTCCTTATACCCTTTTTCTTCTATCTCGGTGAGTCTCGATCCCTAGAACGAACGAGGCTTCGTCAAGATCTTTCATATCAAATTTATTTATCTCCAGTAGTAGACTGACATCACTACTAGCAAGTAAGATATCATCTACATACAGGACAAGGAATATAAACTTTCCATTCTTAAACTTTGTATTGACACAATTGTCCTCTATATTATCTTTACTTTGTATAGACACAATTGTCCTTTACATTCTCTTTAAAATCCAAAATCCTTTATTGTCTGATCAAACTTCAAGTACCAGTGTCTTGAAGCTTGTTTTAATCCATGAATGGATTTCTTTAGACGGCATCCCGTTCGTTCTTTTCCTTCCATAACAAAACCTTTCGGTTGTGCCATGTAAACATTTTTCTCCAAGTCTCTGTTGAGAAATGTCGTCTTTACATCCATATGATGTAATTCTTAATCGTAATGTGCCACTAATGCCATTATGATTCTGAAGGAAACTTTACATGAGACTGGAGAAAAAGTCTCATTGTAATCAATCCCTTCTCTTTGCATAAAGCCTTTTGCCACAAGTCACACTTTATATGTCTTTATATTCCCTTGAGAGTCATGTTTAGCCTTGTAGACCCATTTACAGCCTACTGTTTTGACTACTTTAAGAATTATTTCCAAATCCCAAACTTTATTGACATTCATCGATTTCATTTCATCTTCCATTTGAAATTCATTAGTGTTATACACTTCATAATCAGCAGAAATAGCTGATTTTCTAACTCTTTGAGACCTACTAGGGGCCTTCACATTTGGCACATCTTCTATTTAAGGCTGTTGTTGCTCCCCCTCATGTGTGGCAATAGGTTCTATAGAATCCTGAAGAACAGGTTCCTCATCGTCATTCATTGTTGCCATAGGTGGGATAACAACAGGTGCTGGCACCACAATATCTAGTACTGTCGGTGCAGCTACAGCAGGTAGTGAGAAAAATGGCTCATGAATCATTGGAGTGGGCGCATACACCCGCTTCACTTCAAGGTCAATTTCTCGAGCTACCATGCTCCCCCTCATCTTTTCATCCTATAAGAAAACAGCGTGTCTCGTTTCCACAAACTTTGTATGTCTCTCTGGACAGTAGAAACAAAAACCTTTTGACTTTTCTAGGTAACCAAACAAATGGCAACTTACTATTTTGTGTTAAATACTTTAGCCTCAGTAGGGCTCCCCCACACACACGCAAGTGGTTTAGTGAGGGTACTCTTTTACATCCACAACTCATACGGTGTTTTGGGCACGAATTTCTTGATACTCTATTGACAATATGAGTGGCAGTTTTAACGCCTCCATTCACAGGTCCAACTGTAAGGTGGAGTAACTTATCATACAGCCCACCATATCCATCAGGGTGCGATTGATTCTTTTAGCTACTCTATTCTACTAAGGTTCGCCCGGTGTAGAATACTGGGCTACTATGTCATTCTTTTAGGGTATACCGACCGTAGTACTCCCCCACGGTCAGACCTGACTATCTTAATCTTTAATATCTTAAATTTATCCAATACATCTTTTTTCTTTGATTGGATAAATATAGCCATAATGGGAGTACTCATATGTGAATGTTATGAGCGAATCATTACCATCCACACTCTTTACTGAGAACCCGATCACGAGATATACGTGTGAATAATCTATAAGATTCCTGCGTAACCGTTTGTCATCTTTCTTAATCTTCTTTATATACTTTTCTTTTATGCATTCTCTGAACTTAATCTGAGAGCTCTAATGGAGGAAGAATATCATTCTTAACTTATCTTTCTATTCTCCCCTTCGAAATATGGCCTAAACGACAGTGCCATAATTTTGACAACGCATCGTGAGCTCTCTTATGCCACCTTTTCCAGATTAACACTCTGTGACCAGCTGCTTTATCAGCTAAGTGGCATATGTCTTTGAAGAGCCAGTGAACTGACTCTTTATTCTATCGAGGTACTCAGTGACCGTGTCACATTCTGGAATTGAGCCCACAATTGCAGGTTCAATCATGTTCTTTATCATAGCCAAACTTTTTCGTGTTGGTAGTGATTCATTTCCTATGCCCAAGGAGTCATAGGATATCTTTTGAGATTCAAAATCCCTTTCTTTAGTTTCCTAAGTGGCATCATTCTCTTTTGTCTCCCTCACCGGTGCCACAAACTCAGTGGAACACGGTGAGGTGACTACCCAGTCCACCTTAGACAAGATGAAAACCAGGTCAAAACTTTTCTTAACATAAAAATAACACAATTTGCATGCCTTGATTTCAACGTTGGTCAAAAACAAAACATACAATTATTCTTATACACTAATTCTGCATCACCGTTGGGCAGAAATAGAATTAATGCATAAATCTTTAACTTTATCAACTTTTCTTATACACTAATTCTACATCACCGTTGGGCAGAAGTAGAAATAATGCATAAATCATTAACATTATCAACTTTTCTTATACACTAATTCTACATCACTGTTGGGCAGAAGTAGAATTAATGCATAAATCATTAGCATTACGATATTGTTATTAACAATGTTGGTCAGAAAATAACAACATCATAATCATGTCAAAACTCTTTTTCTCCAATTAAATACCACATTGGTTCAAAATAATTGGAGAATCAACATTTTCTTTAGCAGCGGAAAAAATCTCTTTTTCTCCAATTAAATACCACATTGGTTCAAAATAACTGGAGTATAAACAACTTTTCTTTGGCTGTGGAAAAACTCTCTTTTTCTTGAATTTTACCCATAGGGAAAATTGCTTTTTCAATTTTCTTTAATCCATTAATCAATTTCCAGGAAATAAACATTTACTGGAAAAACCTTCCTTTTCTCTAGTTAAATATCATGTCGGTTCAAAAACACTGGAGAATATACTTTTTCTTTAACAGTGGAAAAAATATTCTCAATTTCTTGAATTTTCCCACAAGGAAAAAATTGTAACACCCTAAAAATTACATTCTTTTAAAATTAGTAAATATGATTTATTTATGCAAATATGTGTGCATTAAAATATAGGAAAATAATAAATTTTGTGGAATTAAAATTAAAAATAAGGTTAGAAACTTTTTGATTCATACATGCTGCTGCATATCTAATTTTATGATGATTGATCATGATTCAAAGTTCAAATGAATTCAAAACCTATTTGAAAATGCTTTTGGAAATCTATTTGGAAAAAGAAAAATGCAAAATTCATTTTTCTCTCCCT